AAATGTGGGCATCTCGTAGTGAGCTTATCCGGCACCATGACACATTTGGCGTGCAGCAAGTTCTTTGCTTGTTCCTCAAGGTCCAAGTCAAAAATCTTGATGCCTTCGTCCCTTTGGTCGAGGTGCCGGTCTGGCATCACAGTGGGTAGTTGCGGTCATCCCTCGGACGTGCCGAGGCATCCAGTGTGACCCGTTCCGCACGGAAGGTTGTGGCGCTAGGTGAAGCCTTCACGGGCATATCCTTAGCACGAAGGGGGCAAGTTCCCAATCATCCGGAAGTGCACTATGGGCGGTTCATCATGGTCGAAGCCAAGGCGCGGCCGTGTTTGACGCGATCAGCAACGTCTCTCCAGTCGCCTCGTCCCTCGGAAAAGTGTGCTCTGTTGAGGTGCCGGCCTGGCCTCACAGTGCCGAGATGGGTAGTTGTGCGCATCCCTCGGACGCGCCGAGGCTTCTAGTGTGACCCGTTCGGCACGGAAGGATGTGGGTCTACGCGTTCCCTTCAGTGGCATATCCGTAGCACTGAGGGGCAAGTTCCCAAACATCCGGAAGTGCACTCTGGGCGGTTCAACGCGGTCGAAGCCAAGGCAAGGCCATGGTTGAAGCAATCAGCAACGTCTCTCCAGTCGCCTCGTCCCTCGGAAAAGTGTTCTCTGTTGAGGTGCCGGCCTGGCCTCACAGTGCGGAGATGGGTGGTTGTGCGCATCCCTTGGACGCGCCGATGCTTCTAGTGTGACCCGTTCGGCACGGAAGGATGTGGGTCTACGCGTTCCCTTCAGTGGCATATCCGTAGCACTGAGGGGCAAGTTCCCAAACATCCGGAAGTGCACTCTGGGCGGTTCAGCACGGTCGAAGCCGAGGCAAGGCCAAGGTTGAAGCAATCAGCAACGTCTCTCCAGTCGCCTCGTCCCTCGGAAATGTGTGCTCTGTTGAGGTGCCGGCCCGGCCTCACAGTGTCGAGATGGGTAGTTGTGGGCATCCCTCGGACGTGCCGAGGCTTCTCGTGTGGACCGTTCTGCACGGAAGGATGTGGCGCTAGGTGTTGCCTTAATGGGCATAGCCGTAGCACGAAGGGGCAAGTGTCCAAGCATCCGGAAGTGCACTTTTGGCGGTTGAACATGGTTGAGGCCATGGCGCGGTAGTGGTTGAGGCCATCAGCATCGTCTCTGCAGTCGCCTCGTCCCTCGGAAATGTGTGCTCTGTTGAGGTGCCGGCCTGGCCTCACAGTGCCGAGATGGGTAGTTGTGGGCATCCCTCGGACGTGCCGAGGCTTCTCGTGTGACCCGTTCTGCACGGAAGGATGTGGCGCTAGGTGTTGCTCTAATGGGCATGGCCGTAGCACGAAGGGGCAAGTTTCCAAGCATCCGGAAGTGCACTTTTGGCGGTTGAACATGGTTGAGGCCATGGCGCGTTTGTGGTTGAGGCCATCAGCAACGTGTCCCCTGTTGCCTGTCCCTCGGAAAAGTGTGCGCTGTTGAGGTGCCTGCCTGGCCTCACAGTGCCGAGATGGGTTGTTGCGGATACCTCGGAATTGTCGTGTGTTCATGTGTGGCCTGATCTGCACGGATGGTTTTGGTAATATCTTCAGGCACGAAGGGTCAAGTTCCCAAGCATCCGGAAGTGCACCCTGGGCGGTTCAACACGGTTGGAGCCATGGGGCGGTCGTGGTCGAATCAATCAACAATGTTTCTCCTGTCGCCTTGTCCCTCGGGAAAGTGTTCTGTTGAGGTGCCGGCCTGGCCTCACAGTGCAGAGTTGGTTTGTTGCGGGGATCCCTCGGAATTGTCGTGGCTTCTACTGTGGCCCGTTCTGCACGGAAGGTTGTGGTGCTCGGTGAACCCTTCATGGGCGTAGCCGCAGCACCATGGGTCAAGTTCCCAATCATCCGGAAGTGCACCCTGGGCTGTTCAACACGGTTGGAGCCATGGGGCGGACGTGGTCGAATCAATCAGCAATGTTTCTCCTGTCGCCTTGTCCCTCGGAAAAGTGTTCTGTCGAGGTGCCGGCCTGGCCTCACAGTGCAGGGTTGGTTTGTTGCGGGGATCCCTCGGAATTGTCGTTGCTTCTACCGAGGCCCGTTGTTCACGGAAGGTTGTGGTGCTCGGTGAACCCTTCTTGGGCGTATCCGCAGCACCATGCATGGGTCAAGTTCCCAAGCATCCGGAAGTGCACCCTGGGCTGTTCAACACGGTTGGAGCCATGGGGCGGTCGTGGTCGAATCAATCAGCAATGTTTCTCCTGTCGCCTTGTCCCTCGGGAAAGTGTTCTGTTGAGGTGCCGGCCTGGCCTCACAGTGCAGAGTTGGTTTGTTGCGGGGATCCCTCGGAATTGTCGTGCCTTCTACTGTGGCACGTTCTGCACGGAAGGTTGTGGTGCTCGGTGAACCCTTCATGGGCATATATGCAGAGCACGAAGGGGCGTAAGTCCCATAATCTGGTAGTGTGTTGTGGGTGGTTCCCATGGCGGAAGCGAGGGTCTTGATTGTGGCCTCTCAGTGCAG